ACTGCACTCCTCCGTCGCATACGTGTGATTTACTAGGTACACAATCTGCTCGCTTTCCATCCACTTTGAAGGAACGTGGAATGACTTGCGAAAGAAACGATATTGAGGCTTCGACATATCTCCACACTTGCGTAGCAAGTCGGTCGCGTAACAAGCTGCAAAAGAGTGTTCAAATACACAGTGACCCCTATTTCCTTTCCTTCCTATATCTGTGTGTAAGGAAATTGTTTAAATTAGTAGGCTTCCCACTCCCACTCTGTAACATTACAGTAGGCTTCCGATGGTCTATGGGGGTATTTCCACTTGGATTAAAAGTCGCGGATTAAGGTATTTTTAATCTGTGCCAATCCACCGCTAATCCGTCGGAGTGTTTCATACGTCTGGATTTAGAAACGGATTGAAGTACGACATTTGCCAATCCGTGCATAAAATGCAAATTCGAGTACTGCCAGACATTTAAAAGACTATCAAGTATCAACATGAAGACTTTGCAGCACCTTTGAACGACACCCACGGTGTGGTGCATAATGCCGAACAAGAAGCACAAAGCTTCCACAAAACTAGGAACATCTACAGCCTTTATTAAGGATAACCTTCCAACCTATCAATCAGGCTTTTTACGAGGCGTCGTGAAAAGTGTTAATCCGACATTGTCAATTTGATACCTGGTGGCCATCAGGTAGCAAATGTTTCTCACCAAGTTTGAGCTTTTAGTATAGGAAGAATGCTCGCATTTCATAGCATATTAATCTATAATTAATTCGCGAAGCGCGTGAATACGGGCGGAAATCTCTCACTAATCGCGCCAACCTTAATCCGCCTAATCCGTCCTAATCCGCGCGATGTTTCCATATGCGACGGATTCAGCCTTAATCCGCGACTTTTAATCCAAGTTGTTGTTGTTGTTACATGGTCGTGGGTGCGTTCCCCGTACCTGCAAACCACCCTAGTACCCTGCCCAATCGCCTATAAGCACCATCCTACCTCGCACTTCCAACGAAACAAGTGATGAAGTATACCAACGACCAAAGGGAACGATAGAGTTGCGGTGGGACCATATGCGTTCCAGCATCCTTGCCAGGCGTTCAGGTTCCCACGTCATAGCGTCCTTCATATGCTCGAAGCATGGAAAGCCCATATCAGATCTGATTTTGTCGTATGCCGGACAGTTCAGCAAAATGTGTTTCTCAGTGCCGCAGCAAGGGCATACTCGTTCCTCCCTAGGTATATAACGTCGTCCCTTACGCGCTCTGTTAGCCGCCAGTGCCCAACAGCAAACTGCATAAGCTTGCGATTCGCCGAACGCGGGATAAACATTGTGATAATCCAAGTGGAAACACCCCCACAGTAAAACGACTTCTAGCATAAAAGAAGAAAGCAATCGAAAGAAAAAGAGACAAGATCCCAAGACGCGCGGCGGACATTCTAATAACCTGTTTACATAACCTGCTTAAATAACACCAACGCACTGGAACAATTGAATTATGCAGTAAGGTCATTGCAATGGCCACAAGCACTGGGCATTAGTGAAAGGGATTCAGCAAAGACTGATCGTCACGTCCAACACGTCGTTCCATCCCTTTGTCGGCTCTGAATGGCACAATGGATGCTCTACTGGGTAAATGATCATTTGGCGGGGGGAATAGGCCATTGTATGGCATCCGAGCTGGCGCACATCATGCGCACGTCCCCACGACCCAACACGGCATCAACGCCCCGCACCCGGTTACGCCCTTGTACGAATTCCGCCTGCCAGCCTGTCTATGCAAAACAGCGCATGGCGGGTAGGCCAACGAAGCCATACCAACGTTTCGTTAAAGACTGGGGTCCCAAGCTCTCAGAATCCCAGGCTGCCAGGTTCCCAGGCTCCCAGGCACATAGGCTCCCAGGCACACAGGCTCACTGCGCTCACACGCCGTTGCCTGTTCCATTGTTGCATGCTGGCCATGGCCTGCAGCTGCCTGTGCGGGTGGGGTGGTGATGGTTGGCGCGGACATGTACAAATCATGAGTCCATCACTTCTTGACAACAGAAAACCATTATTGTTCACGCCCCCCCTTACTTACTCACATGACTGATGAGGCATCATGTCAGATGTCCGCCTGGTTCGCCACGCTGTCTGCATACTGAGCAAGGTTAGTCTTGAACTGTCGTTTGGCAACATCTTGCTCGGCCAAGTCGGCAGGCGCCAACTGGAACTCTCGAAGAGGGACATACTCGACGTCGTTAAGGAGGACCGTGCGAAGCTTGATGCATGCCCGCCAATAGCTGTACTCGGTCATGAAGATTTGAAAATTCTTGTACAGGTAGTCGATGTCCGACTCTGGCAAGACTGCTTGGAGCTGCCGCTGAAAGTTGTGCGGAGTCACCACGCACAGGGTCGAGAAGAAAGCCAACGTCTCGTACTTGCTCTTAACGTCCGCCGGCTGTGACCCAACGTAGACATCGAGGATGACAGTCTTCTCACGATCCCCGTTCTTCTTGATGACCAAGTCTGGTGTCATACCACACAGCAGCTTCCTAATGCTGCAATCGTCCCGAATGTCGTCATCGGTGATGT